TTCCCTGTAAACGGTACTAGAAAGGGCATGCTTTCATGTGCCCGTGTAGTACATAACGTAGGCCTTACAGTAGCTATTATATAGGAACACCTTAACAGCCCAAGTATGTACTCAAAGCGCAGGTGAAGTCTTAGAGTTCGGTGTGATCGCAATCTGTGGTGTGATACCAAGCCACTGCGACTAGGTGTACCTGTAGAATACACATTGAGAACTGACTCATCGTGGTCATTGAAAACGCCATATTACTACTGGCATGGGTATGGCAACACTCTTGTTGTATAGTCATGGTATACTAGCAGTAGCAGTAGTAGTGATCGTCGTGGTCCAGGTAATACTAGTAATTAGAACTCTACCTATTTCTCTGCTTTTATTTCTTGCTTCCCTCCTGTTTCATGCGGGGGGTGAGTAGGTGGAGTAGTACGGTTCAGGGTTTGAGGCCATGAGGTCTCGTTGCGGGATTGCATTTGTTTGGGTCTTGCGAGCAGCTTCTTCGGTCACTTAGGAGGATCTTGTTAAGACAGTGTCTTATATGAGCGCCTGAGGTGATCTTGATGCAGCCAAGCAGCCATACTTGGGCTTTGGGCCTTCGGACATGTCGATGAGAATGTTGTGCCTCCGAGGAGAAAGGCACTCTTAGGTTGGGGTTTTGTCCCCTCCGGCGAACACCAACATGTCAGAATCTCGCCGTGAGCCAGAAACAGTGGTGACTCATCATTTTTCCGATTCGGTCTCACCAGTTCAGCATCCTTCCACGGACTGTGCATATGAGGATAACCTTGGCGCGAATAGAACTGTTGTTCTGATTGTCATAGACTTAGATCAGCATCTACTTACGATGTTGCTCACAATTGGGCTACCCGGCTATCACTACCCTACACTTTGTAGTAGTCGTTGTGGGCCCAGCCCTCAGCTAGACTAGTTTTTCATCTGCTAGGTTTGAGGGAACGAGCGACTTAATCAGAACTCTATTTGCAAATCAATCACGACCTGGTCCAGTAAATACTCAGGAAACCTCTGACGGGGTTGTAAGATGTTGTAAGTGACATTAGAGGTGCATTTCCGTTCCCTCCTTTTCAATGAAGCCCTTTAGCCGGTAGTATCAGCGACGAAACCATGCTTTAAACCTCCAGCGAAGCTTGGGCAAGTCGTGGAACCGTTTGTGCATGCTTGCAGCTGCATTAGAAGATTTCACCTCTTCTTCAAATTTCTCTCGTCCCCAAAACTCCGCGCGCCGCAATCACGACCCTCCCAACACTCATCACAACCTGTAGGTAGGCCGTTCAAGAATGTCGGGAGAACCTCGTGAAACCGTAAACCATAAAGCTCGAAACAACATCAACCCCAAACCCTAAAGCACCCTAAACCCTAAACTCCCTGAACCTGAATCCCTGAGGCGCGAGCGCGTTGACGTCCCTATGATAGGCGAGGGCGGCCTTCGCTGAGGTGCGGCATTAGGCTCATTTTTGTTGGTTTAGCGGCTTAGGGTTTAGAGTTATGCGTCGTGCACTTGGAGGCTTAGGCTTTAGAATTATCGTAGGTTATGAAATTAGGGGCTTGGAGGGTTTATATTGAGGCTTGGGGCTTCAGGACTGGGCCTTCTTAACGGTAAGATCGGGGCCGGAACAATGTTCTCTTAACGGGTACCTTTAAGGGTGCCATTCATACTGTCTTATAGGGTTTAATACAGGGGCGTCAAAGGCTTTAACAGAATAGGCTTACAGGATCAAGATGCTGATTTCCTGAAGGTTGCTTCGGGGCTCACAGAATCGTTACGCAATCTTCGAAGGGGCTCCTTCGACTCTCACACTCGCACACAGCAAGTAAGGCTCATAGGCATGAAGGGTTTGCGAAGATGGGGTCTGGGCGTGTAGATTCTGAGCCAATGAACCGAAACATTCACACCTGTCAGTCCTAAGCAAATCAAGTTGCTGCTCTCATCCTATCCACACCCGGTGCCTGCAACATCCATCAAACAGGATAAGCAGTATGACGCCCTGTAGCATGAACCAGGATATGGATCACCCAACCCTCCTGCGCCGTGCAGCCCTAAACATCTGCACCCTCGAACCCAAAACCGCCAACGTTGCACCTGCCCGAAACAACAGCTTCGCCTTCAACTGAACATGACACCCCCATCACAAAGCCGAGTGAAGCCTCAGGATCTGTTTTTTGAGCCAGGTCTTCCGACTTCACTGCACTCAACCCTGAATCCCAGGACCTCTAAACCATAGCCCCTCAACATGATGCACTCCCTGCGAATTCGGCGAGGTCCGGGCTATATGCTCCTCAAAAGCCGGCGCGAGCTGCAATAGCAACTCTCGGGCAAAGCGGCATGCCTCTCCGCGGCAGTCCAACACTCTTCAAGGGAACTTCTAAAGGAACCCATGCAAGAACCCTTAAGGGTTCAGTGTTTAAGGTTCAGGTACTACCTTCAAGGGTTTGATGGTTTATGGCTTAGGGATTTAGGGCTGAGGGTTGAGGGTTGGAGCTTCAGGAGCTTGGGGTGTACACGAAGTCATAGAACGGGGCTGCATGACTGGAACAGGGTTGTGGATTTTCGGTGCATCTTGAAAAAAGGTATGTGCAGACTACACTGGGCTACAAGGCATTTTATTACCGATATTCAGACCTCTATATCAAAAGGGATCTGGGGCGCGGACTCTCCGCATATTTGATTGGGATTTGGAAGGTGTGACAGAAAGGCTAAAGCCTGATCGCAACAGGATTTCTGCAGTATTTTCGATCTAGTTAGTAGAGCCTTGAGGATATCTACGGTATGTAAATTCTTTGCCTGACACCTGTAAGAGGCTTCAGTTAAAGGTGGCGGCCCTTTCTCGTGGCCGGCAGCCTTAGGCGCTTCGGGCTGGAACACTGGCAACCATAACAAAGCCACCGGCGAGACAACAAACCTCACAAGCCTTCTGCACTTTGTAAACCCAGAACCCCAAACCCAGAAACCCTCAGATGCCGAAGCCTTATATTTAATCCCACGATACCATCGTAATTCAAATCCACATCTCTCAAGCCCCGAGTAACCTCCCCACAGTGCCCAACAAGACCACGAAGAACCCCAATAAACAAAGCACAATACAACAATACCATACTATACCCTAAACCCTAAACTCTAATACCCACACACCGACGAAACGACCGTGGCCGGCCTCTCCCACACCTTGAATCCGCAAGCTCGCGGAACCTTCCAGCGAAGAGAAGCTGACTGAGCCGGGCAAATGAAAACCGGGCTGAACACAGGGGCCACAAGAACCCTATAATGAATGCCCTTAGGGTTTTCGGTCAGCAACTCGCTCCCTTTCACCTGAGGTCCGGGCTGAAATTTTGTAGCTGCGCCTCATCCTGCTTTAACCTGGCCGGCGGGCTTCTTTAGGGGGTCTAGTTTAGGGATAAGGATGTAGGGGGTTTAGGGTTTACGGTTTGGGGGTTTAGGGGGTTAGGATTCAGATCGGGTTTTGTCGGGACCTGGGGTTCAAGGATTCGTGGCGGGCTTTTGGCGCATTATATACAGGTCGTCAGGGTTCGTAGCTGGAAGCTTTGCCGGCTTCGGGCATTGGAATTTTGGGAGTAGGGCAATGTCCACTGAACAATCCCTAAGGCCCGAAACTCTGTTTCCCTAATAACACAAAAATCCAGAGTTCCGGCTCTCAACAACAAAAGCCCCAGGCTCTGAAACTCCTTAAGGATCTTGCCCCTGCCGATGGCCTGAGCCATGTATCCAGCGGCTGCCCTGGTAGGCGTGTCATGGCCTCGTGACCGACGTGGCTGAGGCTGCAGTTGTGGGGTGCAAGGGGTTTGGTTTGGGGTCGAGACATCAAGGGATGTCACTAGAAAGGGAGCCATACGGAGTCATGCGGCAGCTTCGTGGGTTTTACCTGGGTTTTGGATTGAGCCCGCAGGCACATCTGGCACGAAGCCAAGTCACCAAGTCATCCCCGACACCGCGGCCGAAACAAACACAAACACTGACTACATTTGGAAGCTTTCCTTCCGCTTGCAGGGACGTCGTGATTGGAATCCTGGGGCCCGCAAATGCATGCAAAGCCCTTATACTATACAATATATAGGTAGCACATGCAGAAATATGCACACAGTCCGACTGAAGGAGCATTTGCAAAATTTATGGCAAGCCTTGTGAGGATTCCTACATCTGTGCCTCTCCAAACTAAACACTCCGGTTTTCTGTGGGTTTGAATCATGAGCATCAACGCAGAGAGCTGCAACTTCGAGTGCAAACTCGGAACCTGCAACTATACGAGGATTTCAGGTCTTTTTGCCTTTCGCACAATGTCAGGTCTTAGGGTCTCGGGTTGTTAGGGCTTCGCGTTTCTCTTGCGTCTAAGGCTATGAGGACGAGGGACATACGGTGCAGCATGAATCTTCATTCAACAGTAACCCCAGATCTACATCCACCTCATGAGCAGCCTTGCTTCAATCACTTCAACACCTCCGTCTACACCCTCCCAGAAACACACCAAGTAGGGCCGTAGATGGTCGCAGGGTCGTCGTTGCTAGCATTCCAAGAGTCAGACCCGAAAGCAACACTCGCGAATGCTCTCAAAGTCAGGCCTGGACACACTCACTAAATCCCTGATACCCTAAACCCTAAACCCTCGCACTGTACTTCATGTGATTGTCATGGATTCTTGGGGGTTCCGACTTCGCGTCGCTACTCCGGCCCTGCGTCTTGCAAAGCCAGCGAAGGTGCATTGTTAATCATGGTGTCCCAGAGAGCCCAATGCTCTATGGACTTAAGATGCGTATAGTGCGACAGTCAGAACTATAGATCCGAAAACCGTGGAACTAAAGGAAGCCATGTCTTAAGCAAGGGGTAGTGTTGGGCTCTCTGGTGTCAGCCAGCGCGTAGAGGAGAGAGTTTCCTTGTACAAAGACTTGACAAGCCTTTCTTCCAAAGCACCTTATACAAGTCTACAAGCGACAGTTCACGAAATCTCTCCCGCTGCGGGCTCTAACCGGGCGAGGACATTTCAGACTCTTGGAAGTGCGAGGATGTCCTGGCACTGGACAGCTCTCAGAATAGACTTAAAGGACCGAGATCACTAGCAGTCACCAGCATGACAGGAATAAGGTTCGGCTCTTGAACCCATGGGCGAGATTGCATCCAGGGCGAAGCTTCTGGGAAGCAAAGAACCACGCGACACAAAATTGTTAAGGAATATTCCCTACGGCCCAGGTCGCAACGGCTTGAACAGCTTGCTTGAATGTGACTTTGGGGTGCCTGAGATTCTCTGTTTTCACAACGTCCGTCCTGCCGCGGCGTGAAATGCGTCCGCTTACCCAGGCCCTCTCTGAAGAACCTCAGCACATAGCGGAAGGATGTCCTAAATCCCGCATCCCAACAAGTAGAAACCCACTGCGCAAAAGATCATATTACTTAATTCGAACCAATCGAGTAATGCTGTAGCTTTTTGCTTCATTGTCTTTCGTTGTCTGGCTTATAACCCATTTTCTTTAGGATCCTAGAAGGTAACCCGGAAAAGGAACTGCAATGGAGACTATATGCAGCTTGAGGCTTCGGGGTCCAAGGCGGCTGCTGCCACTGCATATGAGAGTTTCGAAAGTAGGGGACCCTAATAGAGTACCCAAAGTAGTAGGATCCTTATTGTAAGGACCCCAAAATACCTACAGCCTTTATAGAAGCCTTATAGATCCCTTGACTGTAAGGAGCTTTTAGAGGATCCCTTTACTATATACCCCTATAATTTTGGGAAATTCCCATATCTGCACCCAAGGGGCGGATGCACCTTCAGCGCGCGCCGAGGGGTGCAAGCGACGGCTACGGCCGGGGCCATCAGAGGAGTGTACCTGGCTGGGGCGCTGTGGCACAGCCATGGATTCCTGCATTCTCAGACTAACATCCAAGCCTTCACAGTTCGAGTAAGGTTTACAAGTGAAGTCAACTATGCCGGTAGCAGTGCTCTACTGGCAGCGCTCAAGAGACCACACGAAATCTGACCAGGAAAGTGTCTTTGCTTTACATCATAGCATTGCACCCTGACTCGATGAGCCAATATAGGACATTCCAACGCTCCATACGTTCTCAGCCATCGAGAATAGCAATGGATCCAACCATAAAGCCCAAACCCCCGAACACGAAACCACGAAATCCGAAACCGCCGAAGCCCCAAACAGCCAGGAAAACCTCAATCACTTGAACACTGAAGTCTTACTTGAAACCTCAAAACCCTGCAGGATGATTCGGATTCAGCTCATCCAGTGCTCTCTGTCTATGGAGAGACACTTCCTTCGAAGGCCTTCAGCGTCTAGTGTATGGCCTTAGTAATTAAAACAGGGTGTTGGGTTACTATACGATAGATGCCATGGAGACACCGAATATTTGCAGGGTAATTGGCTACGCCCCTATACTAAGGGTGGCAAAAAAAACAAGTCCGAGCTGCGCCCCAGGACCCGGGGACTGCTCCTCCTCCTCGTTGTCAACGGGCTCGTTGGACTTTCGAGCCTCCTTGCCTGCAGGTTTCGACTCACACACTCGTACAAGGCAGGCATGGCTTCAGATACTAAGTCCGCTGCAAGGTTTAGGGCCGCAAGCTCGCTTAGAGTTGATCTTGATTTATGTTCTTCTTTCGCCGGCTTCGAATTGCCAATGGAGGTAAGCTGTGCTCTGGTTGAATCCGACAGCATGGGAGACATGCTCTCCGAAGCCACAGCCCCACGATCCCTTTATCACCCCGACTTGCCTCCAGGCTCGATCTACGTGAACGGCTGACCGCGTACAGCACATACGAATGAGAAAGTCCAATTCGCAAGCTACATCTCCACATGTACAATATGTGTACGTAATACATGCATATAGACATCAGTCTATCCACCATGCTTTCCACTCAGAAGCCACTCTCGCATAACCCACGTGGGACGCAGTCTATCAAGGAAGCCGGGGTGCTGAAAGGCCAAGAGGGCTTGCTCGGGGCCATGGAAGACCACCCAGGCCCTGGGATGAAAGATTTCTTGCGGGATTCGGGCTTTACCTTTCTTTTTAAAAGTGCAATGACCTCTTTCCATCTCTCGCAGAAGAGCAGGCTTTACCTTTCAGGGTTCAGGCTTTGTGTGATAATCGGAAGCTGTTGGGTAGTTTTACATAGGCCTGCGCCATTCAGGTGAAGCTGCCGAGAGCCCTGATTGGTGTTACAGAAGTATCTTCAGCTTCAGCTGAACAGCTCTCCGTAAAGTTGTAGATCGCCGTGCACAGGGTTTTCTAGGGTAGCACGAGGTTTTCTTCAGGCTGTGTTGCTGAACACATTCCCCAAGCCACCAAAACCCTAAGTCTACAAGCCCCCAACACCAAAGAAACCCTTGAACCCCCAAAAGCCCTCAAAACCGAAACCCAATCCTACAGCAAGCACCTATAGTCTCCATTGTAGTTCCTTTTCTTGGTTAACCAGTTTTATGGTTAGGACCCTATAATAGAAATTTTGGCTAACCCAAAAAAGGGAACTACAATGGAGGCTATACTCTGACTCCCAGACCGAGGTGCGGGAGTCGTAGTCCAAAGGAGAAGGCTCCTCCCCAGCATCTCGCGGCGTCGGCGGCAGGAGCATGGTGCCCCCAGTGCGCTTCCCTTGCAGGCTTTGAGTTGAGTGTTGGTTATTTCTAAACTGGGCTAAGGATTTGGGGGTTTCTGACTACCAGTGAGACAATCAGGGCTTTGCTGTACTGCGTTCGTTTAGGAGTGTGGGGTCGAGGGCGTTGTCTCTGTGAGCTCATGGACATATTGGGGGGCCCCGCCGAAGGCGGGAAATGTTACTGCTCAGAGGGTCTTCGAGACTTCCTGGCATCCTAGGTCGGGCCTCGAGATTTCGAAGAGCTGCGGGGTTTTAAGGCTGCTCCTCTTTGTTGTATCCCTCGGAATCTGTGCATGAGAGAGAGGATGAGAAGTGAGGAACAAACACTATCATTGGAGCGAATGAATTACTTCACGGCTTGTTTTCGGGCTGAGTTCAGGTTACTAATCGGGAGGCGAGGCTTTACTCTTGAAGGTGAAGGCTGCATTCGGCATCAGTGTGGACACAAACATCCGAGTCCGATCAACAAGCCCACAGATCGTCACACGAAGCCTCGACACCCTGAACCAACATAAGTTTAGCAAGATATTTGGCCCCACTTACCAGTATACATGATCCCACGACCTTAACTTCTGCAGAAAGTGCATGTAACTTACACTCCTACACTCCGCCGAGCCACGGAAAGAGAAAGCTCCCGGGAAGGGCCGCATTGGCGCAGGCGGACCGCTGCCAACGCCATGCCCTGCAGCGTAGGCCGCAGGGCCCGGGCCTGGCATTCAGGATCTGGCATGGGCTGTGGGGGATGTATATGTATGTGTATATATGTATATATATATATATATATATATATATGTATATATATATATATGTATATAAATATATAGAGGCATCTAGTAGGGTTTCTACACAACGGGTTGGGACAAAGCCGCATATACTTAATTGCCAAGACACCTATTCACTGCGGGGTCGAGTTGGTCAGGTTGTCTGGGGTTCTTTTTAAGTTGATGTGCACCCTTTCTCCAAAGTAGCGCTAGCATTTTACCCCCAACTTAGTGAAACAAAAGATCAGCGGAAGGTTCGTGATTGCCCAGGCAAGGTGTTTTGGCATTTGGCGACCGACTAGTATCGGCGAGCTCTCTTCCCGGCCTTCTGTGACGTACTGCGTGGTCACATGCTGCGGAACAGGCGGCTCGCCGAGCACCTTCCCACAGTCAAGTCGCAGAAGTGGGTGGCAGCAACCCGCACAGAATCCACGGCCAAACTGGAACACAACGTAATACAACGTATGTCCGCTGCGAAGCTAAACATGAGGAAATGACAGTGCGCTCTCCAGCCTGGGAAGAGAACGTCGAGGAGCTGGCCTCCTCGTGAAAAACCCGTCATTTGAAGGGGAGTCGTTGCCGCCCGTGCATGTTCCGCAGGGACAGTAGAAAGACCCAAAACACTGGCAAGGGTTCCGGATTTTAAACCCTTAATTAAGCTTGAACTTGTAGCCCTCAAGTAAGCCGGAAGTTCATGCCTGGAACAATCCATTGCAACACTCGGCTTGGCTCCTGTGTCGTGCTTGCACCGGGGAAGATCCACTCCTTTGGCGTCACGACATGCAGTTCCAACTTGAGTTATTTGGTGGCCTTATCAAGTAGAATAGGTTCTGTAAGAGTTATATTCGAGGGGTCATGAAAGATTTCCACCGTATATTGGCGTGAGTAATAGAGCAGGGCTTTGCGGGTGCATTGTCATATGATTACATAAATGGGCTTGAAGCGGCCTGTAGTAACTCTGTACTTCCGCAAGCCGCCAGACCCACTGACTCCTCATCTGATCCAGAATCCTTTCATCCAGATGGTTGGACCCTGAACACAGAATCCCACAAAGCCCGGATACCGTGATACTATAACCCTACTTGGAAGTGAGTTGGTGTAAAAGCCCAGCACAAGTACCCATCTAGGTGGGGCTTTTAAAGCGTTTGAAAAATATCAGTAAATAAGATACTCTTGAGCCCAATAAGGGAAAACATAAAATGTCCCAAAGCCCTACCTAGCCATGATCCCTCAAGTGGCACCAAGGGGCATCGAGGAATTCCACCTCCTGCAGCGCGAGGGTGCCGCTCCTCTCAACATCCAGGGCGTAGAACCTCGGTAGGGTTTAGGGTTTAGGGTTTAGGGTTTAGGGTTGAGGGGCAGAGATTCTAGTGAAAAGTTTGGGCTGCAGGGTTGTCCAAAGGTTCGGTCTGATTGGGGCTTTGACCTTGAGAGTTGTTCGGGGCTCGGCTTGTTTAATAATCTTTTAAGCATGCGATGTCGGGCCCATCAAGCGAAGTTGGCGGGGTTCACTGTTCATGATCTCGCAAGTTGTGGCTCGACTTCTCCGTTTTCTGACATGATGCTTGAACAAACCTGTGGCGACTGAAACTTCTGCATGGAAGCTGCTTACCTGGCTGTTTACCCGAAATCCATGCGAATACCTGCATATGTTTCGCATCCGAACGCCTCCACTATGACTGAATTGTGTCGAGGCACAAAGTGCTGGCATCGCCTTCAAAGCCATAGAAGCGCAGCGAACGTCGCCACTCGCGATAGTTTACCTGAGGTTTTTCCACCACATATGATTCGCAGCGGGATCGCGGAAGCACTCAGGCAGGATTAAAGTCCGTTACAGTGTAATGGTCCCAGGCTTTCATCCGGCCCCAGCGCGGCAACACGGCTAGGCCCCAAGCTGCCTGAACCAAAGCAGCGATTCTCAGTTTCAGCAGCGGCTCCTCGTTGTCGCCGCTGTTGTCAAAGACGCTGAAGGCAGACCGGACGCTGCCAAACTCCTCGTCACACCACCTGCACAGCCGTGTGCGAATGTGGCTTGCCAGTAGTACTGCAACATGGGATGAGCGAGGCTTTGATCCTCCCAGCCCGGGCTCTCACGACTCTTGTCAAACTGCATGCAAAGCTTCTGGCTCGAACGGCTGTTACTTCCAGCCACACAAGTGGAACCCTGCAGCAGCTTACTGCCTTCAATGCGCTATACCCCTACTGCTGTTGTTGCTCTGGTTGCTGACCACAATTCTTCATGAATAACCTTCGGAAGCGATTTGGAAGCTGCTTGTTTGAGCAAACCCTCATGCGATCCTGTTCCTCTCACGGGGAAGCTTTCTTCATCACTCACTCCTGGCCTGCGGAAGTTGGCTAAGGCACTGGAGGAAGCTGGATCGATCTCCTCGTCAAGAGGGATCTCGGTCCGGCTAAACACATAAACAACTAGGTTCCTGAGTAGCGCAATTATAATAAGGGTGCCTTTGTTCCTACTGTTTGGGTTGAATTAGGGGATCCTAAACCAAACAGGGCAAAGGGCACTACTCAGGAACCGACGCAAAAATTGGATCTGGGATGGGCAAGGTTGGCGACACCGGCCAGCCCCAAGCCATATTCCAACGCAATAACCCAGGCACCGAAACATAGATGCAAGATGCTGAGTGCGCTCCACAGTGTCATGTTCTAACCGTTGCTTACTCTCGTTGCGACTTTCTGAGTACGCCTTGCCCTGCAGCCCCCGGCCGGACCTGCAGCGTAATGTACCCGGACAGGTCTTCATCCAAAGCCCTCCAAGCGCCAGCGACGTCGCCTGCAGCAAGTAGGTGCAAGGCATCATCACGAGAAATGGCACGCCGGCACGCAGTAGCACTAGGCTACTGCGGTTTACAATATCTAAATGTTGCACGACTGTGTTCAGAAGAGGTTTGGCAACCCGACCCCACCCCTGCTGTTACTTGCGTACACTGCAACATGTTGTTTCATGCTGTGACGTGCCAGATTATCATGAATGAAGAAGAGGCTGCCGCAAGCAAAAGGCTATTAGAGCTGTCATTTAAGTTTACCACCACGTACGGCCTGTGCTTAGCATCCCTTCTACCAAAGAGACTTGACATCTTCTGCACAGGTCGCATCTGCAATCCACAGCATATGGGTCACCGTACAGCAAAAAAGCAAACTGCCCCTATACTTCTTAAGCTGCATAAAAGCTATAACTCCAAGCTTCGACGACATCTGAAGATCCACAGGGATAGGGCCTGATAGGGATTGGAAGCTGAGGCATTGGCCTTTGAACTTCAGCTTTTGGCATGCCGCGTCGAACTCGTCGTAGTTGCAGCGGTTGCTGGAGTCCTCCCAGAGTAATGGAGTTTGCTGTGACTTGTTGCATCCAGAACCGGTGGGATCAGGGCCAAACCCGCTTTAGGGTGTGAACCAATCGGACTCCATGGCCAGTAGCTCTCGTCTGAGTTGCACTGCTTTCCGGATTTGTGTATCGAGCGACTGGAAATTTGATGTTTGCCATCTTTTTGCATTCTTTATCTGCCAGACATGGTTCATGCAAGCCGCACGTATACGTTCGGCAAAGGGCACCTCAAACAACTGCACCCGTAGTAGAAAGTAAGCAGAGCCTCTCTGTGTCTCTCAAGCGGCATCAAACCAAGCACTTAAGCGAGGCCGTCTGGATCCAGTTTACCGGCTGCGGCCCTCGGCACTTTCAGATGCTATTTTGCGCGAACGGTTTCGCACACAAAGGATTCTGCTGTGATGTCGCCACAGCTTCAAGAAACTGCCCACAGCTCCCCACTCAAACCTTGGATCTTATCAATATACTTGCGTAGCTGCTGGTTCGCATGCTGTGCTTTCATGATCTGGTGCTCCATGTTTCGTCTCTCCAATTGTCGCAGCTGCTCTGTGTCCAGCTTTCCGCTGTTCCTCGTCATGTTCGCGATCTGGCGTGCTCTCGCCCGACCGGCTTCGTCATACTTTCTCGCATAGCCCTGATTGCCGACCAATTCAGCCAAGCGCGCACGGACATCCACAGAAGTCTCCTTGGTCAGAGCCATGGCCAGCGCTGCCTGATCTGCTTTGCAAAGCATTCCCGCCTTCAGCATGGTGCGAAGGACTTTCTTGGTTTCGGATGTGTTGTATATGTTCAGGCGGAACGAGTCATGTCCGGCAACAGTGGTGCGAATCCCCAGATCCCGGGCCAAAAACTCCTGCAAACAGTGCAGCACAGTCTCGAATTTTTGGGCGATTTGAAGTTGTAGCGCGGTTCGGCCGACCGCACATATATGGCCTTCTGCATCAAAGAAGCCTGTGAAGTACTCCGTCGAGCATGCGGCGACCACAGCAGAGTCGCAGCGTTTCAATCGACAGAGCTCGGCAATGCTCTCTTGTCTTCTGGATGCCTCTTGAGGCCAATCTGCCGCCAACACAAGCTGCCTTTGCTTTGTTATGCTGTATTGGGCCAGAACCCGAGTCGCACGGTGGACAGCTAGCCCATAGATCCTCCATTGTAGTGCCGGCCTGCGTAGCCCTGTGCCATCACAAAGCTTGGCAATAGTGCCACCGAATACCTCTTGGAAAAGCATCAAAACATCGGCCTTGTCAAAAGACTGGCCCACGCTCAGCCTACATCCAGAAACGTGACCTTCCACGCACCCGTCGCCATCAAAAAAGCCTGCTAAGTATCTTAAAACTCCTTCTGCAGGAGCCGGTGGAGGGACCCAATCCTCCGATCGAAAGGGTAGACCGTGAACTTCGCCACAGCCCTGGAAACGAATCAGCCGTGGCCATGCCATTGTCTTCAGCGTCGCTCTCAGCTTCAAGTTTTCCTGCCGCAAGATTCCGAGTGCCTCCTCGGACACTGCTGTCGGGCTGGGCTGCGGCGTTCGCAGGGAGTGGGCACAGGCAATCGTGCGACATGTTGGCCGGAGGAGGCGGCAACATGGCTGCAGAGGCTCCCTGCCCAGAGGCAGCCATAGCCTCGACCGAAACAAGGACTGCATTCTGGGCACTTGCCGCCGACAAGCCGCCTCAGAGCCGAAAAAAACCCACAGCATGCAGCGAACCTGACCTCGTCCAAGGGACTCGGTTGAACCTCTGAACAATCCAGTTCGTGACGACTGGCCAGCAGCCCTGGGTCATTTAGGCATCCAGAGCATCCAGACCAGGAAGCCCTCCCTTCCGTCCAGATTTGTTCATTCCGTGTGACATGCCTGACATCCCGAAGCCCCGCAACACCTGAAGCCCATGTGAGCTCCTGGTCGAGGCAGTGCCGCCAAGCCTTGAGGAAGTTCTTGTAGTTCCGGACCAACCTTAAGCTCACAAAGCTGCCCTCCCAAGTAGTAGGGTTAGGGCCCAGGGTTTATGGCTTAAGGTGGCTATACAAGCAGGGCGTCAGCATGATGCTCCTTAAAGGTCTTCATGTGAAATTTCAGGCTCGCCGAAACATGATAGACGAGAGGCAGCGCTTTGAACTCCTCCATGGCCTGCGGGTTGGCAGTGCCTCAGGATGCCACGCTCGCGAAAAGTTGAAAAGCACAAGTATTAAGGGAATACAAGCCGGGAAGCGAATACCTAACACAAAAGTAGCAGGTGTATTCAAAAATGAGGACTGTGCGTCTGCATATCAGGACGTCTTCAGGCCATGCACCATCCTCTAAGCTCGAGTCTTGGAAAAAACTGACAATCGTGATGTATCGTGCATGAAACCCTTTCACCGAATGCTTGTCAATGATGGCTGCCAGAGTCTCAGTTTCCCTTCAGTGACGAACGCTTTGCAGCTCAGGCGGCGTGTCAGGAATGCCGGTGGTTTCCATCGATCCAAGAAAAGGAGGTCTTCCAGCATCACTGCCTCCGCCGGGAAAACATCGGTGATTAGTTCACCAGTGGTTTTGGGGGCTCCCTTGGCTCTTTAGCTCCTTATTTAACAAGGAATTATCATCATCCCTAGCTCCTTAGCTCCCCCAATATCATTGGCTAGTTAGCTTCATTAGACTAATCCGAGTCTCAGCTCCGAGGCACACCTCGAACCTCCAAACCCTGATCCGTACACCCCAACAGAAACCATCCTCCGTCTTTGCAGACCTGAAGATCCGAGGAGAACCTGAGGTCAAGACGCACAGCTGTTCATGATGTATTGACAAGCATCTCTTGACAAATCCGGAATAGATATCCTGTCAGTCTTACATAAACAAGCCTGAACTATAAGCCTTGCACTGAAAACTCTGCACACCCTGCAGAATCTAAAAACTCGAAGCCCTTTAGGAGCCGCCTTAGCAATATGTCTGTCTCTCTGTCTCTCTGTCTCTCTGTCTCTCTGTCTCTCTGTCTCTCTGTCTCTCTGTCTCTCTGTCTCCCTCCCTCTCTCTCTCTCTCTCTCTCTCTCTCTCTCTCAGGCCCAAACCTCTTGGCCCGAAGCCACAAGCATCAACCCTCGCCTTCATCTCCTTGTGGTCCAGGCCATGGAACAGGAGCTTGGCAGGATGCTGGAAGCCGTGGTTCTTCACCTCGCATCTGTAGATCTCATAGGCAACTCTCTTTGCTCATTTCTTGCTAGCTGGTGCGCACAGAAAAAGAGACCATCAACTCAACTTGCGAACCTTCTTCCAGAAGCATGTCTCTCGACTTAACTTCTAGGGTGTAGATATTGAAATCGAGGTCCTTCTCCACAGATTCGGGCTCTGTTGGACTTTCTAGGCACTGCCACTTGTCGGGGTCATGCGCGGTTTCTGTGTCGGACACAGGCGATTGGGGTTCTGGGCTCATTCCAGAGGCTCGAGTGGGGTCTTAAGCTCCATGGGCGAGGATGTTGCGTTGCATGCAGGTTGGGCTTCACGTCGTGCAGTGATCAGACAGCGGGAGCACTGAAGTTGAAGCTTTGACCCAAAGTCAGTAAATCGCTCAGCAAGCCTTCAAAACGAAGCGGAAAGGGAGTTTGATATGAAGTTGGAACTCGGGTCGGGCGAGTGTGCGTGCGTGAACTCTGTGACCTCCTTTCAGTTGTTCGTGAGCTGATGCGTGTTGTCGGTCGAAGGACTCGGACAAAGTTTACGATTCAATGGACATTGACGGATCGCAAGTCCCTAAACTGCAAAATCCACACCTGAAGTCTCAAACATCGTATCCACGAACCCTCAACCCAAGGTTGCTCGTATCCATTAGCTCCTGTCAGCTGCCCGTCCACCTGGCTGATGAACTCGTGCTGCTTCAGCTTCTTCCTCGGTCCGTCTGTGTCGTGTACTCTAAACTCTAAACAACCGCAAAGATGGCGGCTAAAGGAGCTCGCCAGAAGAGTACTTAGAAACAAATGTGGACACCCAGAGCAATAACAACAACGAAGAGTTTCTCCAAAAGCAACGCCTGGGGATACAAGGCTTGATGAATTTACGACAATACCTTGAGGCACGACTCTCCGGCTGCAAAGCCCAAGCAAGATTGGTGCGAAGCTTGCTTTTCGTGCTTACGCTCAGAAGTCCGAGAGCTCTCGTAATTCTTGCGCATTCCACATCTTTCAAGCCGGGGCCATAGGAAGCCTTTGCCACCAAAGTTTCAGGCAGCATCCCAGCAGTCACCACGCAAACTTTGGATCTTTCGCATGTAATCCTGCAGCTCCCGGTTTGCATGCTCCGCATTCAGCAGCGCATGCTCGCTCCTGAGCCTTTCAAGTTCGCGCAGCTGCGAGTTTGGTAAGCGTCCAGCTTTGGCTCTTGTTTGCAAGTTTGATAGTTTCTGGGCCCTCATACGGCCGGCCAGGTCTTGCCTTTTGCCACATTGCTGATTGCCAAGACGATCCACCATATCACTGCAAACTTGTGCTGCATTTCGTGCGGTCAAGCTTATGGCCAGCTTAGCCTGCTCCCTTTTGCAAAGTAGCCCGGCTTCCACCAGTGCACGCAACACATCTTTGCAGACGGATATGCCGAAGATATACAAAGTCGATGAAGAATGCACTCGGTACAGCTTGGCCTCAACTCCGAAGTTGCGGGCAGCAGCCTGTTTCAAGCAGCTCAGAACAGTTTCGAATTTCTGGCCTATTCGAAGGACCAGCCCGGCCCTGCCAGTGATCCGAATGTACCCGTCTGCATCGAAAAAACCGGCAAAGTACTCAGTCGAGCATGTGGTGACGACAGCAGAGTCGCAGCGCTTCAGCCGACGCAGCTCGACCAAGCACTTTTGCCTGCTGGACGTACTTTTGGGCCAGTCTGCCGCCAACACAAGCTGCCTGTGCTTTGTTATGCTGTATGGACCAAGAAGGCGGGCGGCACGACAAACATCCGGGCCCCACAAACTCCACTTCAACATGGGCTTCCACAGTCCTCTGCCGTCGGACTGCTTGAATATGCTGCCACCGAATACAGCTTGGAAGAGCATCAAGACTTCGGCCTTGTCGAAAGACTGGCCCACAACTAATTGACATCCCTCAAGGTGACCTTCCACACACCCGTCTCCATCGAAAAAGCCAGCCAGATAATGTAAAGTTTCCTCTGCAGCAGCTGGCAGGGATGCACGTGTGCTCCTGACCGACCGACATGGCAGCTCGTGAGTTTCACCGCCTGCATGGAAGCGAAGCAGCCTCGGCCAATGCAACGTCTGCAACACCACCCTGAGTTTCAAGTTTTCCCGCTGCAAGCTCTGCAGCGTGTCACCGGAAAATGCCACCAGTCTTGGCTCAAGGTTTGGCAGTAGGTGGCCTTTGTGGGCAACTGCGCGGATTCTGGTCCAACGCAAGTGCGGCTTGACAAGGCTGGGCCGCAGGAGCTGCTTGCCCAAAGGCCCAGACGGTCTAAGTTGCATCCCAAACATCTGCGTCTGCAGCAACAAGACTAATTCGCACCAATCAGAATAGACACTCTCGTGAACACGAAGCCACTCGAACATGCAATCCTGCCCAAACCGAGTTGACGGGCTAAGGTGCTGCTCAAGGAACATCTGAGCCGGTGGGAGTTCGGCAAGAGCCGGATCGCTGGAGAGGAGCGGTGGGTTGGGGCAGGATGCAAAACAATCGTGTACGAAAGGCCAACGTAGTAGTGCCTGGTGGAGGCATGTTGAAGGAGGGGGAGCCGAAGAAAAGAACAAACAAGACTCGTGACTGACAACTCCTTCTCCCCTGCTTCTTGTCGCACATGCCAAACACCTGTCCGCCAGATTTGGGTTGTGAGGGCCTTGTCACATAATGTGCACAGTTGACCTTCTGGTAAAATCGCAGATGCCGTTAAACAATTAAGATCAAGGAAAAGCTTAGTTTGGAAGAGCCCCACCAAGGTCGGCTGTTTACATGAAGCGAAGGGCTGGTTGTACTTGTCGAAAGCATGGAAAGCTGCAGTGGCGCTGCCGAACTTACCTCGGCTGCTCTGTGAAAGCGCTCGCCACAGCCAAGCAATGTCAGAAAGAAAAGCGGCCTCGCCTGCACATGACATGCATGTGCATCTACGCCTGACGGCTCAGGTGTCCGTACTGGTGTGGAAAATCTCAGGGCCCGAAAGTTACAGCCGCAAAGCCCTCACAAGCGCAGGCATGGTCCAAAACAACCCAAATAGCCTGCGCCACGGAAGACGAGCCACTCATAACGAAGTCATGAAAGTGCGCGAGAAGCTCGGCAGCTCGTGCATCCAGCTCCTGGGCATGGCTTAGGCCTGCAAGGAGTGTGGTCCATGTATAGAATGTTTAGGGTCACTTGTTTACAGTGGATGGGCCAAAGTGGAGTTGGAATTCAGGCACCTCCAGGATATAATTTATGATGACGGATTTAGATCATAGACATTTCTGGTCGCCGATCCTGCCCAACAGCTTGAGTTCATAGGTTGCCCAAGCCTACCCCTGGACCCTACCCCGCAATCTTGACTAAATGCCTATTAAATGAGCTTTATATGGCGGCCCACCATCTACCGTGGTGCCGTGAAGCTGCCCACTGTGAGTTGTGCGGGTGGGGCGGGGTGGGGCGCGGCGCGGGGCAGGGCGGGGCGGGCGGGGCGGGTGGGGTGGGCGGGCCGGGGGGTGGTAGAGCGAGCAACCCCGCTTATCACCACCTCCTCATGTAATGCTCATTTAACGCTCATTTAATGCTCATTTAACGCTCACTTAATGCTCATTTAACGCTCATTTAACGCTCATTTAATGCTCATTTAATGCTCTGATGCGGGGTTGGTTCTTGCAAACGCAACTAGAGCTGGTTTGGGGTGGGCTGGGGTGGGGTGTGGGGCGGGGGGTGGTGGGATGTGGGGTGGGGTGGGGGGTGGTGCAGCGCAGGCAGGGCAGGGCAGCAAAAGCAGGGAAGTGCAGAGGGTGGCAGGGGGGCAGGGCAGGCAGGGCAGGGGGGGAGGGCAGACATCGTCTCTCACTAGTGTTCGTTTATTGCTCACTTATTGCTCCCATAATGCTCACATAATACATTTTTAGTGCCATTTTAACGATCATTTATCGCTCATTTCTTGAGGAGAGCCGGGGTTGGTCCCGGGGTTAGTGTGAGCTACCAATGATGAGTGCATGATAGTGCATGTCGGCATGAGCTCTCACCAAAACTTCAAAAAGTATGCTGGTCTTATACATGCATATACACAGGTATTTATTTTCATATGGCATGTCAAAGCCGACAAAGGGAAAGCTTTTGACACGGAAAAGGCCAGATTCCTCGATGGAAACGTAGCCGCTGTTGTCCTTCCAACAGATGCAGGGAGGTGGAGGCGCGTATGTGTACCGTGTGACATTTCATCACCATCATCGACTATCAGCAAAGAAAACTGCTCTTCCTTGAGCAGAACTTGCCTGCCTACCTGCGTATGTCCCACGTACCCTGCGTGCGCAGAAACATATGTGCACATTCATCAACATGCGTCCACATACACATGTGCATCGTAGTAATTACTGTCGATTTGATAAGATGCATATTGCGGGGGTACAAGAACAAAGTTTTAGCACTTGGCGTCTCGTCGGCTGCACGGGGTGGTGGCCCGTCATGCATGGGTCGCTTCAGTGACCTATAGCCCGCACAATCAAGTTGCAGCATCCGGTTCGGGGTGTTCGTCAGAAACATCCCTCACACCTCAGGAGATACGATGAACTCCCCAGCCGAAGGCTCTACAAGAAAATCCTCCCGCTCCTCAGAAAGACGGTGCACTCTGTGACGAACCTCGAGCCGCAAGCCCTACACCTAATCACCCAATCGCCTTGTCGAAGGCGGAGAACAAGAGCCGAACATTTCCCGGCCAGCCGAGTTGGGCGCAAGCCTGTCAAAGATCAGGCACTGTGAGAAAAAAGAGCGTGTGTGTGTGTGTGTGTGCTTTGGTGTCGCTAGTTTTTGGTTGCTGTCGTATGTGAGTAGGGAGTGACGCGTTCTGAAGCGTTCGCGGATGTTATGGATTACCGTTGTGTTCTTAAGACAGGGCTCGAACTAACATGCAACGAATGCTGATGGAGAAGGGGGAGTTGAGCCGGACAAAGGACTAGTTCAGAGTCCCTCAATTCAGGCGAGGAGGTGCTTGCAGGTCGAGGACGAGGGTTGATGGTTGATGTGTCAAGGTTTCTGCACACTCGGAAGTTTTACTGTAGTTCACCAACTTCCGCAAAACAACTCTGAACAGTGAACGCCTAAAGCCCGGCCTTTAGCCCCAAACCCTTCAGAACAGTGGACCCCCTCACCAATGGGGCATAACCCTCAATTGCATAAGCTATGTAGATAGATCACGCAACCGTAAACCTCAAACTCCAAAGCTTTCGGTGGTGCTGCAAGAGCACAGCAGCACCCTCACCGAATCGTCAGCGGGCCTTGAAGACCTCGCTTCGACGCAGGATCATAGCACCGTCCGGGCTCAGTGCCTGTCGTGATCCACTGGCCCAAAAGGTCAGAAAGTCGAATGCAGGCGGGCGGGGAAACATGGGAAACCCCAAGTATCAGACTGTACGCAAGGAATCCTAAGCCTGCTCTCCACTTTCATCCGACCTTTGTGATGCCTTTTAGTTCCAGGCTTAGGGTTGCAGGTTGCGGTCGTGTAGACGACCTCGAGCTTGCATAAGGTTGGTGCAGGTTTGGTGCTTAACACCCTCCAACTGCATCAAAACAAAACCCAGATTCCATTCTGAAAGCCTTTGCAGCGTGAGCCTGAGCCTCGCAACCCGACAACACAACTGCACACCCAGAGGCTCCATAGTAGTTCCTTTCTGGGATTACCTTATAGGATTCTATATATGAACCCCAAAAAGGAACTACTTTGGAGCCTTAGGGCACAGCCCACAAACTGATTCGAACAATTGTCACACTAAACGCCGACAGCGTCTCGGGACAATAACACCCGTCAACATGCTGATAAGACAAACGCACGTTTTTCTAGCAATATAACCACATATGGCTATATCAGGCAACACAAGACAAGCACTCCAAGAGTGGTCACGCCGAAACATCTGTCTAGAGGAGCCCAAGCCTTGAACCAGGCGCGTAGAAAGCTTCCGTACTTGCGCCGAAGATAGTTTTTGAAGTCAGCAAGGCATGCCTGCCCAGCGAAAGGAGCTTCGGATATTTGGCTCAGGCAAGCTTTAACTGTCTTGAATTGAAACACTACTTGGAGGATCATGGGACTTAGTAAGTAAGGTTATAAGTACCTTAATTGGGGTTATAAGTACTTATAAGTATAGTTGCTGCGTTTATAACCCCACTTACTAAGTCCCATGATCCTTTAAGTAGGGCGCTTGAAAGGAAATACACCACCGTCGGGTCCTCACGGGGTGTTCCGACCAGACAACCAAACAACAGCACACATTCTGCGATCCTGGACGGCCACCTGCAAAGGAATCACCCACTGCATGGTCCATTATAAGCCCAATCAAGGCCCTACATTCGCCGTTAAAAGAAACGAATATCAACACACAACTATCATACGGCTGATGGACAAAATCCTGCATTACCCGCTACAAGGAATATACCGTAATTTCCATAGTTTAGAGTCCTTAGGGTCATGCAGGATTTTGTTCATCAGCAGTACTAAACATGTCGGACCGGAACACAAGTCTTGTTTTCCCGCGCAGATCCGGAAGGAAGCCCAGGCGAGCGAAGCGCTTTCGGTCAGAAGGAACCAGGGCTTGCTCTACATCTTTCTCAGGAAGCCAGCCCTACTCCACTCTGTTCTAGACGCTCTAAGTTTGGGAATACCCGGGGATGCTGATCAAAAGGGAAACATGTGCAGCAGTCAGCAGACTCTGTCCCGGCGATTTGCAGGAGTCCCGAATCATGAACAAATTGCTGTAAACCCTAAACCCTCTGAACCCCAATTGTGGTTTCAAGTCGAACCCCCTGGGCTGGATGGCTATCACCTACTTACAGGAATTTTGGGTCTGTAGGATACGGGGTTAGGGCTACAAGCAGGGCCCTACTGGAGTGAAAAAGCCCTCAGAAAAATCAAACTCTAAGCAAACCCTAAACCCACCCTTAACCCCGAAGCCTGAAAGAATTCAACAAGGGCATGCAATTCTTTTAAAGAAGGGGTAGGCTTTCATCATGCAGGGAAGGCCAGCGGAAAAGGATGCTGCAGCTCCGGTACTTGGAGGATCATGGGACTTAGTAAGTAAGGTTATAAGTACCCTAATTGGAGTTATAAGTATAGTTACCCGAAATATAATCCTAGTTACTAAGTCCCATGATCCTTTAAGTGCTGTCGGCTTCGGGATTGCTGGTTCTGGGGTTTATCGGGGTCTATCGTTGATGGTTGTCTTTTTATTCCCTCCTGACCAGCAAGGACGAAGGCCGCAATTTATGGTTGGGGGGTTAAGGGTTTCGGGTTTTATAGGGGTTGTGCAAAGTGTCAAGATTCTGGGTTTAGGGCTTGCAGGGCTTACCTGGGGAGCTTAGGAGATGCACACACTGAAATACGAAGGGCCATGACCACCGTTTTGTAGGCTGTGGCCATACAGTTTTGGCGACATAAAGCCGTCATGTTGCAAGCGCCGGACCGAGCAACATTTCTTGTTGTCCCTCGCGCTTTTTCCGGGGATGCAACCCGTGCGAGCACAATGCTGACGGTTCCAGAAGGATGTCGGGCTTTCCTGTTTGACTGCAGGTCATCTACCCAGGACCCTAAGGCTCCAAAGTAGTTCCTTTTAGGGGTTCATATAATCCTGTAAGGTAATCCCAAAAAGGAACTACTATGGAGCCTCTGGGGAACCTCAAGACACGCTTGTTTTAAGGGCTCTGCATTGGCATTGTATCAAAGGGATGTGCTACATCGCTTCGCCAGATTCCGTGCGGTTCCCTGAGTAGGGTCTTGGGCTTGGTGTATCTGGACGAGGCTGGATTCAGCAAACTCCTACGCCGTCGCGCAGAGTTCCCAAACGATGGTAAGAACCCCAAGCGGTCCACTCAAAGCCCTCTCTTCAAGAAGCGACGACGAAGCCGAACAATAAACCCTAAACCCTGAACCACGGCCCCTGCGCACGGATGACACGCACTAATCCAGAAGTAAACCCTGAACCCTAAGGCCCCAAGCCTGGCCAGCACTGAGATCTTTTATGCTGTTTCCCAGGTCAGCTAGCAACTGCAAGAATCCAACGGCGATGCATTTGGAAAACTGGAACAAACTTGAGGAGACATAGTAAGGTATAGTGTCTCTATAACAAGGAGTCCTGTGGAATAATGCAAGTAATTAGTCAAAGTAATTCTTCAAGCTCGAACTTGAGGTCTCTCAGGGTTCAGGGTTGTAAGATTGATAGGGTTTAATTAACATTTCTGGCCCCTTAGTACCATATCGTCGTGCAGTTCTTCTGAGAGCCAAAAGGGAAACATGCGCAGCAGTCGGCCGACTCTGTCCCGGCGATTTGCAGGACGGAAAGCACACATGATGGGGGTCTAAGATGTAGGGTTTCCTGAGTATGAACCCTTTTACAGGAACCCTAATCCCTACTAAACCCCCAAAAGGCTAAAACCCCTTTGGGCCCCCTATGAGCAAATCGCGAATGTGAACAGATTGCTCTAAACCCTAAACCCTCCAAACCCATTTGCGGTTTCAGGTCGAACCCTCCGGGCTGGATGGTTATGACCTAGTTACAGACTTTTAACCGTTTAGGATTTTTTTGGTCTTGTTTGAGGATTATGGCTCCGGGGCACTGTGTAGCTGCCGTGAGCTACGAAGAAGACACCAGAGATGCCCAAGATCAAAGGACATGGGGTTCAGGAACACCCTCAAAATTCGAAGCCCGAGGCTCGGTACATGCAGAAACTAAACTCTCAAAGCCCCTGAACTATAAAGTTGATATAGGGTTTAAGGTTTAGAGTTATAGGGTTATAACCAAAACCTGAACCCGAAAGTCTAAACGCCAAAATCGTCAAGAAGGCGAAGTTTCCATCATACAGGCCGGCCAGGGAAAAAGGAATGCTGCAGCTCCGGTACTTTCAAAAGGGAGTTTCCGAAATTAGGGGTACATTAAATCATTATTTTTGGGTGCCGATAATAAGGGTCCTGTTATTCTGGGTGCTATATTTTGTACCCTATATTCGGAAACTCCTAAATTAGCAATTGTTCAAGGATAAAGCTTAGACGTCGAAGGTCTGCGTCTCACTCTTCCCGTCATCCCACTGGATGACCACCGTGGCCGTTTTGGGAGTGCGCGAGGACGCAGCCCAAGTGCCGTGCCTCTCGACTTTCCTTACTTCAACTAAACCCACAAAATGCGGGGGTTGAGCTTTCAGATTACCAATCCAATGCCCTGAAATCCTATAATACGGTGACCAACAAGAATCCAAACGGCTTATGTGTTGGGTAACGTTTTAGAAGACTACTTACTATGCAAGACAAAGGTCCTAAATGATAAAACCTTACAAGTAATTATATATATATATATATAAAGTCCGGGTCTTGAAGCAAACATAAAAACTCTGTAAAAAATGAAACCCTTCTGAATAACCCAAAAGCCCTGAAATGTTGAGCATTGCAAAAATCAGTGCTTGTCCCTTTTACACCTGGACTACGCATATGCCAGGAACTGAGGGGCCGACTGTGCTGTGGGCTCGTGCCACACGGCTACCCCAGATTGCAAAAACAAACCCCTTTCTTGCACAGGCTTTTGTGAATCCCGCCTGGATGTGTCGCGCCTGTTCTCCGAACAAGGCCAGGCACACCTAAACCCTGAACCCTAAAGCCATGAAACCTGAACCCTCAACCCTAAACTTTACTAAACCCTAGACCCCTGGCTAAACCTAAACCCCTACCCAGAGGCTCTATAGTAGTTCCTTTTGGGGATTACCTTATAGGATTCTATATCTGAACCCCAAAAAAGGAACTACTATGGAGCCTTAGGGTAGGGGTAGCGACTTGGTTTTAGGGTTTAGGGCTCCTTTAAAGGGTACCATTAAGGGTTCCTTTATAAAGGGTACTATTAAGGGTTCAGGGCTTAGGGCTCCTTTGAAGGGTACTATTATATAAGGGTTCCTTTGAAGGGTACTATTAAGGGTTTAGGGTTTAGGGTAAACCCTAAAACCAAGTCGCTTTGTGGTTGTGGAGACGTCGCTGCACCGGCCAGGCCCTGCTTGGACTGTGGCGAAGGTGCAGGAATGATCCTCCCAGGGTTCCTAGGGTTCCTAGGGTTCCTTTAAAGGGTTCCTAGGGTTCCTTTAAAGGGTTCCTAGGGTGCCTTTAAAGGGTTCCTAGGGTGCCTTTAAAGGGTACTACGAGGGTTCCTAGGGTTCCCTTAAAGATTACTACTACAAGGGTTCCTTTAAGGGATCTACAGACTGATCCTCTCAGGGTGTAAGGGAGCTTCAGGGTTTAGGGTTCCTTTAAAGGGTTCTTAGGGTTCCTTTAACGGATCTAGAGGGGAGAAATATCCTCCACTTTTGAGGGTTTTAAGATGGCCTGATTTAGGGAGAACATATCCTCCCAAGGTTCCTACTTGGAGGATCATGGGGCTTAGTAAGTAGGGTTATAAGTACCTTAATTGGGGTTATAAGTTATTATAAGTAATATAGTTACCTATTTATAACCTGCAGGACTTATCCTCCCAGAATGTAAGGGAGCTTCAGGGTTTAGGGTTCCTTTAAAGGGTTCTTAGGGTTCCTTGGAAGGGTACTACGAAGGTTCCTTTAAGGCATCTATAGAATTATCCTCCCACTTTTGAGGGCTTTAAGATGGCTCAGGGATTTAGGGAGTAGGGGTGTGTGGTGTATGGTTTCATGGTTTAGGATGATTCAAGGGTCTAGTAGGGGTGTAGGGTTTCAGGGTTTAGGGGTTAATGGTTTATAGGGGTTAAAGGTTTGGGGCAATTATCCTGGATCGGGTTTCCAAGAGCGTGTCCCTTGAAGGCATCGACCCCAAAATCGAGGGTCACGTAAGCCATGGAATTTTTGAGTTTACAAATTCAACTGCCTATTTCACATCTACAGCATCAAGTGCCTCTGTGTGCCATGTGCGGCGCGCAAGATTGCCCCGAACCGCCTTCTAGATATGAAGCGGAACCGAAACAGTCGGCAACCGAGTGTCTCCATTGAGCCAAGACCCTTCGACGCACACAACGCGAATCCCGGAAACCCTCACCGCGCCAAATTCATTTATTGGGCAGGGGCCGCAGCCACCGCCCCAAGACCTAACCCCCACCCTTTACCCCAACTCCTGACCTGAATGCCTAAACCTGCATAGCCCATAAAGGAAAGCTTACTAGAATCCTAAGGAATCCTATCGTTACTATTAACCCTTGCAGGAGCACATATAGAATCCTGTATAACTCTTACCAGGAGCACGTAAGGAGCCCTTTAAGGAACCCTACATAACCTTTGATAATAGGAAAACCCCAAACCCTACACCCCAACTCCCAGACCTTCCAATATCCCTTAATTAAGGAATATACCTTAAATTATAATAGGACCCCTCTTTTGAATTAAGGTATATTCCTTAATTAAGGGATTTTGGAAGGTCTGGGTCCTCCTTGAGCTCGATCTCCTGCCACTCGCTGTACCGGTCCTCTGGGTAGGATCTCATGTTGAATGTGTGACATCCCACCACGGAGCGACCTTCAGGGGTTTAGGGTTTGGGGTTTAGGGTTACAAAAAGGGCTCTCAGAGTTCTGAAAGGTGTAGGATACTACGGTTGATGATCTAAATCCTGCATTACCCATAATAAGGAATACACCATAACTCCCATATATTCCCTATTTTGGCTAATGCAGGATTTATATCATCAACCGATATCAACCGTATAAGGGCCTTAGGAGCGACCTGCAAGACGGAAGGAGAGTCAGAGTTCTGAAAGGTGTAGGGTACTTTTATAACGGGTACTATTAAGGGTTTAGGGCTTAGGGCTCCTTTAAAGGGTACTATTAAGGGTTTAGGGCTTAGGGCTCCTTTAAAGGGTACTATTAAGGGTTTAGGGCTTAGGGCTCCTCTAAAGGGTACTATTAAGGGTTCCTATAAAGGGTACTATTAAGGGTTTAGGGTTTAGGGGCTTTGCCCAGAGGTTCTGTATATGAACCCCAAAAAGGAACTACTTGGGAGCCTTAGGGTAACAAGTATCCATCCTATTTTTGGGGCTTCCTTATCCTAACTACAGTAGAAAGGACTGTCAGAGTTTTGAAAGCTCGAGAGTCTATAGTATAAAATACCCCCAAACACCCTACCCTTGTTATTAAGGCCCCTATACTCTATGTACGGTCCTCGGGTGGTGGAGTTTGAAAAGCTTTCAATTCCTATAAGACGCCTGCGAAGAGTAGGGATCTACCCGTACCCTACGACGAAAGTAGGCAACGACCCACACTGAAAGAATATGTATATTCATATTCGGAGCTAAGGGTAGATCTGACAAGCACCTACCATCACCTAGAGCCGTCGCATGGACACTGGCTGCCCCTGTTCTAAGATGTTGGGGCAACCGCCATAGCAACCCTTGAAACTTAACAACACCTTACTGAAAGCCCAGTCCAAGTACTCAGAGCCATCGGCTCTTTGATGTTTATAACACTTGGTACTTTCAAGGCACCTTTCGTCTTCACAAGAGTCAGCGTGGCACCATCTCCGACGCCTTGAACCTCCAAAGCAAGCTCTGGATCGAGCTTCTTCTCCTTGTAGGAGAGCTCCAGAAAACAGGAGGCTGGCACGCTGATCTCCTGCCGCATTTTTTGCTTTTGGGTGTAACCTGACCCGAAACCCTACAACCAGGTTCCGGGTTTAAGGACCCTAACACCAGGAAACCTTACGGACGCCGTAGACCCTAAACCCGCGTAAAGGGGTCAGAGCTCTATAATAATAAGCTGCATGAGAATCGCCGGAGGCCGAAAGGATAGTTGGTGACTGGCCACAACAGTCCTCAGAACCCATGCGTAATACCGCCAGCCAACTATACATGCGAAGGTGACAGTCAAATCGGCTTGTAGACGTAGTTTGGGCAGCTAGTAGGACCTTGATCCCCTTCTTCATCGGGTATTTTTTTTGGCTCCCACTTTCTTGGCTCATCTGGTTTTTAGGGTTTTTTTCCCTCCTACCTAGCAAGGACGAAGCCCGCATTTAGGGTTAAGGGTTTAGGGTTGCAAGAAGGCCTCTGAAATCCCAAACTCTAGCCGCCAAGGTCCAAAACCCAACCCCAAGAAGCCCCATGGGGCCGGCTTCCCAGAGAGCTCAAGACCCCCTTAATTAAGGAATTTTTCGACCCTCACTCTCGGACTAGCCTGGCAAGGTCTGCAGAAATCTACAGGGTTTAGGGTTTAGGGGATTCTAACATCCTTTAGTTAGGGAATATAGCTTAAACCATAATATGAAGCCCCTTATAATTTAAGCCATATTCCTTAATTAAGGGGTATTGGGATCTCTGGGTTCTTGTTTGGCGTTAGCAACCCGTAGGGTCCACGTACATTATTGGGAGTTTCCGAAAGTAGGGGACCCTAATATAGTACTCTAAATAGTAGGATCCTTATTGAAAGGACTCCAACATAAGGTACCCCATCAGTTTCGGAAACTCCCAGACTTTGGCCTTTCGCTGAAACAAGTTCTTCGTTAGGGATGCTAGGGCCAATGCACACGCTACACATCACACACATGAACCCGCAGGGCAACCCCAAGCCCACCATAAATGTCCTTGGCCAGCTTGGCGCAGAGGTCCGCCACGGTGCCGGCATTGATCTCATACGTTCCGAGGGTCTCGCCATCCAAGCCGCAGATCGTCACGGAGCTGGCTTTCCTTGTGTATGGATTTAGGGTTTCGGGTCTTCGTATAAGGACTCAAGACCAAAGGGAGCCGAGAAGAGTATACAACTTTTGACTCGCACACGAGCACACGGCTTCAAGGTCTCAAGTTTACGGCTGTATGGATTTAGAGTTTTAACCGTTTAGGGTCGATGATGTCTTAGGCGAGCACACGGACTCAACCAAACGAGGTTCTGGGGTTTAGAGCTTAATTGTGGTTGCATGCACTATGTAGAAAGTGTAGGTCGGGGGCTTCGGGCGGCAGATTTTCAAACGCCATTTCGCGCTCAAGGCTCCAAGTGCTGCTGTCACCAGTGGTCCCAGGCAGTGCGACGTCACACCAAAGTAGCCATGCGGTGCCGCTTCCATCTTTCCAGCTAGCCTGCGGAAAGCACTCCGCAAGAGTCTGAAGTGCCTACATAAGACAAAGTATGGGGGCTCTAAATAGGAATTAGTACTATGGTTTGAAGAAGTATCTCCCATACCTTCTGGACGACAAGTGCCCCAGCTAGAAACCCTACCAAGCAGCCTTGCATGGTCGCGGGGCCGAATCACTCTCAGCATCGAATGTCAGCTCTCCCCCGATCTTCCAGCGGTCCGGATACTCTTTTGTCCATTCCTAAGGGTGAATTTAAAGATTTGGGGATTTTGGCGCTCAGCTTTCGTTCACTCCTAAGGACGAGATAGGGGTTTAGAGCTTGAGGGAATAGCTGTTTAAAGGTGCTCTTTCGTCTGTCATTAACGGTTTAAGGTTGAAGCAATACAGGCAATGTAGGGTTTAGGGGATTTGGGAAATGAGGGCTGAGGGGTTGATTAATGTTTTGGTTTGGCATTTAAGCGCCCACTCGGGTGTAGGGTTTGGAACTCCTTGCCACAATTCCTTTGCTGCCCATTGCCCAAGTCCGCAGAACACAATTTGTATTACTCCTGGACAGTTGTGCTTTGCATCTGCGCTGCAGAGATTTCTTGAACACCAAGGTCCTAAACAAGAACTGTCTGCTGAAATGCTTTCGCGATACAGACCAGTTATATAGTGTAGGGTTTGTGATATCAAGTTTGCACATGTGCATGCACATATGTATATACATATATATATATATATATATATATATATACATGTATGTATGTATGTATGTATGTATACACATATATACATATGCACACATACATATACATATACATATACATATGTATATGCCCATCTTTACCTTTCCAAAAGAATCTAAACTCCTTGCAAACTCAACTACCAAGACTCCTTCGTGGTGGGCCAGAAGACAATCGTGTCCCCGAGTTTCAAGCCAGCGGGCTTCTTTTTAGGCATTGCTGCCCCCGAACGGCGTCGTCTCTTTTTCGTGAGGAAAACCGGTGAGAGACAGTTGGGCTTGCTGTGCTAAGCTCTATAGAGTGCCGAGTGATGGGCCCAGATGTAAGCGTGTGGTGTTCACGGCTCTGCGATGTAAATCGCTGCGGATTGTCACAGCTCAAAACACCCCAGACCTAAACCCAAGACCCTAAACCCTATAAACCCTATAAACTATAAACCCTATAAACCCTATAAACCCTTTAAACCCTAAACTTCGAATCCAACGCGTTGCCGCAACTGCTAGGAACTCATGGCCAACTGGACCAAAGACATCCTCAAGCAGCAAGCACAAGCTTGAAACCCAGATATGGGTTGGTTGTCAAAATTATGGTCCCTGTTTGGGGTCCTACGGCACCTACTATTTAGACTAGGGTACCCCAAAAAGGGACCCTAATTTTCACAACTACCCATGTATGCTAAACCCCATCGGGAGTCATAAGCCCATAACCATAAGCCCGAAACCCTATAACCCCATAATTAACTGAACCCTAAGAGCCGATAAGCCCTAACCCCCAAGCCCCTCAACCACAAATCCCTAAACCCTAAGCGCTGTGTCCACAGTTCGTCCACACTTCAGGCGCTTCGGGTCGCGAGGGGAGTTCTTCAGGGTTTGGAAGGTTTTCGGGCTTTGAGGGCAGGGTTTTAGGGCCGCCAAAAAAAGCACATAAGCAAAAAAGAGGATAGGGATATCCCATATATACACCCCCCTAAAAGGAAGCCCAATAAGGTAGGGATACACCCCATAAAATGCTTCTGCTTATGTGCTTTTTGGATCCCTGAGGTTTGGGTGTCTCGTCGGCTTTCGCCTTGGAGGGCTGGAGCTTCAGGGGCTTCGGCGCTCACACTCGGAGAACCCACTTCAGGGGTTTACCCAGAGGCCCCATAGTAGTTCCTTTTTGGGAGTACCTGATAGGATTCTATATATGAACCCCCAAAAAGGAACTAGTTTGGAGCCTTGAGGTCGGGGTTTCAGAGGTCTTGAAGCAATCCACTTCGGGGGTTTCGACTCACACACTCGCACAAGGCAGGCATGGCTTCAGACACTAAGTCCGCTGAGCTTGCTATTTTGACATTAAGGGACAAAGCGTGACAAGCAACACCAAGACGGTTAAGGGGGTTCAGAGGTCTAGAAGCAAAGAAGCTGAGTTGACTCTTCATCCTTGCCGCCCCTCATGTTACTCACCTTGTCAGCAGACTCATTGAGCTTTGGGTTTTTTTGGACCCGAGATCATGAGGAGCTGCTTCTTCACGGAAATCACACATCCTCCGTGTGCAGGGCCCTCAAGGCCACAAGTCAAACGGATGAACAATCGAAACGAGTGCGTGGTGACCGGCGTTGTTACGAAAGAACGACAGTTCTTTTCGGCACCTGCATTGGAAACCTCATGCTCCGTTAAACTGCGTTTAGATCCTTGGCTCGACCACGAACCCCGAACCGTTTAGTCTAACCCTAAACCCTGAACCCTGAACCTTAAACCCTAAACCCTTAGGGTTTACGCTGAGCAGGCCTCGCGTCCCTTGAAGTTGGCGTCCTTGTTCCTTGTGTGGTTCTCCTGGCAGCGCAGTCCATGTGCAGATTCTGGGTTTAGGGGTTTCGAGTTCAGGGTATTCTGTGAGACTTCATGGTGTGCGGTTCAAGGATTCAGGCTGTAAACTAGCCTTCAGAGTACTGTTAGAGTTTGGGGGTTAGCGCCTCCGCCGCCTATCTCAGCAACTATGTACTTGGGAAGGGCTCTCAAACCAGCCCACAAGTTAGATCGACCCCAAACGGTTGGGATCCCAGAGCAGCTGCCAAGCACGATGCGCACATGGTCCTGCAGATCGTGACGAACATACCGTGGTTGTAATTCTGACAACCGCACACACACACTCCGCCCTCTACTCCGAAGCCTTGTGCCCTATGCCCCCAAATTAACCCTTTTTTACATCCAAACACCCCAAAACTCAGATCCAAATCTGCAAAACAGCTCCAACTCTCGTAAACAAAAAAAAGTGAGTACTGTGTAATCATTGGGTCTGTGGGGTTTAAGCTTATACACCCCTAAAGCCCCTAGAGCATTGTTGCATCCGAAGCCCAAACAACCTAGTCCCTACCCAGAGGCTCCATAGTAGTTCCTTTCTGGGATTACCTTATAGGATTCTATATATGAACCCCCAAAAGGAACTACTGTGGAGCCTTAGGGTAAACCCTCATGTTCCTTTTTGGGATTACCTTATAGGATTCTATATATGAACACCAAAAAAGAACTACTTTGGAGCCATAGGGTAAACCCCTAAACCCTATAAACCCAAGACTCCTGAACCCTAAACCCTTTCTGTCGAGACAGAGCCGGCTCTCTAAGGCCCTGAAAGCCCTCCTGCAAGGCTTTCTTCTTGGCGAGCTCTTTTCGCTTCTGCCGGCGCTGCTCCATCTCGAGCCACTTCAGATCCTTAGATTGAGGGTTTAGGGGTTGAACGGCCCAGAGAGCCCAATACCCCCTAAATTAATATGGCTTATATTATATGGGGCTTCATAATACAATTTAAGCTATATTCCTCAAAAAAGGGGTGTTGGGCTCTCTGGGGGGCTTGGGGCTAGGATAGCAGCCGAGGCCTGCGGGTTTAGGACTTGATTGGTTCAAATGCACAAATCGCAGGGTTCCACGTAGCAAAAATCAGGGCAGAGTATTTGGGATCGACAGCCCTTTCATTTGGGTGCTGGCTCAAGAGCCCCAAATTCAGGGTTCAGGGTCGTGGGAGGAACCCGAAGCCGCAAAACTTCGAGTTTAGGGTTTAGGCGGCTACGGGCTGAGGACGCGGCATGGCTCCCGCTGTTTGATTTGATGTCGTCACTAAACGACTTTGCAGTCGTCGGGAGGCTCCGTCTGGTGCAAGCAGACATGGGGCTTTCCCTGATACACCTGGACTACGCAAAGGCCAGGAACCCCCTGAACCCTAAGCCCTGAGCCCTAAGCCCAAAACCGGAAGCCCCAAACCGAGTCGATCGCAAAGGAAGCTCGAACTGAACAGCAACTTGAGAGCCCAGATCCGGAGACCGGCCCAGGCACCTAAACCCGTTTTTGAACGTTGTCTCTTCGACTTCGAAGTGCCCCAAACCCCATAAAACCCCAAAGCCCTAAATCCTAAACCCTCAAGCCCCGCCCCCCCCCCAATAAAAAAAACTGTGAAAGCTTTGGAGCTCGCACTTTACTTGAGGAAGCGGCTTCTACCGAAATCGCATCCTTGTCCTGGACGTTCATGGCCGGAAAGATCATGTCCTGCAAGCTTGGGGCTTCAAAGTCGCGATTTGTGTTTTGGGCTGGGGGTCCTACCCAGAGGCTCCGTAGTAGTTCCTTTTTGGGGCTTGCCTTATAGGACTCTATATATGAACCCCGAAAAGGAACTACTTTGGAGCCTTAGGGTGGCTTATGGTCTTAAGTCTAAGGGTTTAGGACTGTCGGGTGCAACTCTTTGCGGCAGATGCATCGGAAGTCAAACGTAGAGGGCACCTTAAACCCTAAACCCTAAACCCCAAACCCTAAACCCTAAACCGTGCTTAGTTTTACGCTTTAGAGGGACCGACAAACCATCTCACTTTCGAGGCCGTAGAGGGTGGCTTCAAACTGAAGCGATCTTCTAGCTCCCCGCTCCCTCATGTATATATGTACATTAAGAAGCAATTAAGTAAACATGTATATTACATGTACATACAGATAGACAGATAGACAGACACACAGACAGCCAGGCAGGCAGGCAGATATACAGATAGATAGATAGCTAGATCTAGGGAAAGATACAGATAGCAAGCTCTGTATTGCATCTACAACCGGGTAACCCTGTATCCTAGTCCTCAACTGTGAAACCTAGCCAAAATCCAAAACACCCCACATCCAACCATTGCCTCGTAGCCGCTGCTCCAGCCCAGGGCACGCACATTGTCGGTAAACCTGAAGTCTACAAAGAATTTCGGAGTTTCCGAAAATAGGGGACACTAATATAGTACCTTAAATAGTAGGATCCTTATTATAAGGACCCCAAAATAAGGTACCGGAAAACTCCCAATTCTGATCTGAGCTGGAGGCTTTGGGACTTGGGTTGCTTTTTGTGCCCTCTCGCATGGCTGGCCACAATGCCCACAGGCGAGGTTGTTTCGGTCAGTAGGGTTTACAGGGGCTCAAGTTCTGAATCCCACACCGATCTGAAAGTGATGTTTCTGGGCTTCTAGGATGTCTCGAGACGGCTCGAAGATCTTGGCATATGGATTACGGGTGTAGAGTAGCCAAGTGCCCAACGAGGGCTCAGGAATCATTCCAGGGCCCTGGTGGTTTATAAGGATTTGTAGAGCTTGTTGAGCTTTATGAAGCAGTCATTGCAAAGGTTGGTCTATGTTACACAGGGCTCAGGGAATTCTGCAGCGTGTGCTGCAGCGAGTGGGGACCAGGCTAGTTGCTCTCCCCTTAAAGTGGGGCAGGACAGGCTACTGTCGCGGGCTACATGAGGTTCCCTGCTAGTTTACAAGGAATTCTGGATGTTCGTCACGCAGCAACTCCCGATAATCAAGTCAAGACGCTGCGCCTGTGTGACGGTCCAAACATCTGGACCACCTTGCAAGACCTGCAACTGAATGTACAGGGATCAAGACACAAGCAACCTTGGAGTTGAGCTCCTCGTTTTAATTCGTGCTTGACTGCGTATTGGCTTCTCTCTATATAAATCTTTAAATCTCTACAGCAGACATTTCTGCAGCACCTAAGAAGGGCACTACGATCGCAGGAGAAGGGGCACCAAAACACCAACTCCCAGCGACAAAGCCGTGCCGCTACAATTGAGGCCGCAATCACACCACGGACGTGATAAGGTATATCCGGGGATTCTCTTCCCACTGTTCCTTCTGGAATGCAGCTGCAACTGTCGACGATTTCCGCGATTATTCCGAACACTTTCTATACACGAACCCCCTCATCATGCCTTGATGGAGTGAAATCTAGCCCAAAGGCTCAAAATAGCCCAAAAGACTTATATAGTATGGTCTTTGGGCCCAAAAGCCTTAATATATTAGTCCTTAGAGCCTTAGGGTAAAGGAACCACATAAGACCGGATCCCTCACAGCCCTGTCCTGCGCTCCGCCACGACGTTGTTCGATCTCCACCTGGCGGATGCATACTTCCCAGACCTTCCAAAATCCCTTAATTAAGGAATATACCTTAAATTCATATTAGGGATCCTCGTATAATTTAAGGTATATTCCTTAATTCAAAGATTTTGGAAGGTCTGGGAACCTTAAACCCTAAACCCCTAAGGGGGGTTCAGGGTTCAGGGGTTTAGGGTTTAGGGTTTAGGGCTTAAGCCCCAAATCTTAAACCCTAAACCCCCAACCCCTAAGCACCTAAACCTTCAACCCCTTAACCCCTAAGCCCTAAACCCTAAACCTCCAACCCCTAAACCCCTTAAAGGAACCCTTCATAGTACCCTTTAAAGGAAGCCTAGGAACCCTAAGAACCCTTTAAAGGAACCCTAAACCGACTTCGGACCTTGGCCCTCGGCCGCAACGCTTAAAGCCCTACGCCACAGTCACCACCAGAAGGCCCAGGCCCTGCCCGAACCCCATCAGGGTTTAGGGTTTCGGGGTTAGGGTGTAGGGGTTAAGGGTTTAGGGGTTTAGGGTTTAGGGGTTTAGGGGTTTAGGGTTTAGGGGTTTTGGTACACTTCTCGATTTGTGCGTGTCATCCTTGCGCAGGGGCCATGCTAATCTTCTCTGTATCGTTCCAATTTTATCGGAAGGGTTTAGGGGTTTAGGGGGTTAGGGTTTTAGGGTTTAGGGGTTTGGGGGTTTCGGGGTTTAGGGGTTTGGGGTTTAGGGTTTCGGGGTTAGGGTTGAGGGGTTTAGGGTTTAGGGGTTGGGGTTTGGGGGTTTCGGGGTTTAGGGTTCAGGGTTTAGGCTTCATCAAACCTAGCCTTTCATAGAAGATCCTTATAAACGTACATGAAAAGCTTTGCGTAAAAAACGAGCATTTGTAGGCAAATTCCCCATGCTACGTCTCGCAGAGCACCGGCCTTTTAAGCCCTTCAGAATGCCTCTCTCTCTCTCTCTCTCACTCTCTCTCTCTCTCTCTCTGTCTCTGTGCAGAATGCCTAAACCCATAATCCCTGAACCAAGAAACCTCAGAAGCTACCCGAACCCACTCAAGAAGGTAAAACAAAAGACATAGCACCTGTCAACGGCCATACTTCCCCACACTTTCGTGATCCAGATAAACCCTACATCTTCCCTAAACCCTACAGTAACCAACCTTATATATAAATGTATATATATATATATATATATATAGACCATAAACCCTATCTTCCTAAACTCTTTGTTCCTCAGCGCCGCCTTCTTCCCCAAACGTCGAACCATGTCTTCAGGGTCCTCGAAGTTCTGGACACAGAAGGCCTGAAGAGGGTTTTGATTACGATTTAGGGTTTTTTTTAAGCTCCTTTTTCCCAGTCGCCAATCCAGCTCCCAAGAATTAGGGTTCAGGGTTCAGGGTTTCATTACGATTTAGGGTTTAGGGTTTGCGTTGCGTCCTACTTGCAAGAAGCAGCCCGCATCGCAGGCTGCTCTGAGTTTGTTACGGCCCTTTTCCACCTTCGGGAGACGGGGGCAGAGCTTCAAGCAATTGCCCACTGCAGAGAAGGTTGCATGCTAGTTTCTCCAGGTCGTGTGCACGGGCGGGTGACCCAAGCGTATTGTAGCCATATTAAAGGCTTGCGGTTTACGCTCTCGCAGCACCCTTGAGGTTCAGAGTGCTGGGTGTAGTGTATAGCGTGTCGTCTTTTCGGGCTTACGGCTCAAGGGATGCGGGGATCCCTTGAAGCTTCGGATGTTTGATTAGGGTGAGAGGCCGTCCTCGCGCATAAACACAAGGACACTATGTGGTTCCAAGAAGACAAGGCTCACTTCCAGAAAAAATATGTCTCACAGGGTGCTTCTCTATGGAGTCTGAGACATTCATCTTCATGCGGCGTTAGGGCCAATGGCGGGACCCAGACATACCCACCATGGTTTAGTCTAGATTGAGTAGCCAAAGATTTGGAGTTTTTGAAAGTTTTAAATGCCCTGCTATGAGTCCATGTGGTCCTCGTTAAGATCCGAGGCGTGTTGAGACCAGACAACGACGGCTTAGGCAATTGGCCTCCGCAGACAAGCTTCTGTGTTGCAGTGGGATTTCAAGGTCGGGCCTATGGAGTGACGACCCTTTTTTGTATATGTTTGAAATTGTTTGACTTATTTTTTCATCCATCTCAAATATCATATTCTTCTGAGGCTTAGGGTTTGACCAGGCTTAGGGTTTAAGGCTGAGGGTTTCGCCACAACAAGCATCCTGCCGTGCATGCTGGGCACCCGGAAGCGTCGCCATTGGCCCGAGGCGTAGGCATCGATCTCCTGACACAGGGCTCCGGAGCTCGGGTTTAAAGCTTAGAGGGTTTAGGGCTTAGGGGTTTAGGGGTTAAGGGTTTAGGGGTTTAGGGTTTAGGGGTTTAAGGCTCCGGAGCTCGGGCGGAGCTCGGGTTTAGGGAAGGGTTTAATTATGGTTTAAGATTTAGGGCTTAGGGGTTTAGGGTTTAGGGGTTTAGGGTTTAGGCTCTCGCAACTCGGACAATCCAGACGAGGAAGGGTTTAGGGTTTAGCAGTTCGTGTTCCGAGTGGGAGCAAACTGTTTGAACGTCCTTCTGCGGCTGCAATCACCTGTATGGAAAAACAGCGGTTGTACCTTTATACCCACGAAGTGAGGAATCACAACCTACTACGTTGTAGGGAATGGGGCTACAGGCTCTTGCTGCATCTGTACGGATCAGCAGTTTAGGGATCAGGGCTTCTTTTGGAGTTCCCCGGTGTTCGGACTTTGCTACGGGCGCTAGAGCTTCGATGGTTCAGAAATTAAGACTTTACAGCGTTTTTTTGGTTCGGACTGCAAATCTGCGCAATGGAATATGGATGCGGTCCAAGACAAAATAAATGGCGACGAAACTTGCCACTGCCCTCAGCAATAAACGCGGTTCCAAAGCATTGAGGGTTTATACTCTGGACACCAACCCCGCCCCTGGCTCGCTGAGTATGGAAACCGTATGCAAGAAACACGAAGCCATAAACTCTAAAGCACACACCCCAAAGCATAGACTACACCCTAAACTGACACCCTACACCCACAACCAGCGAAAGCTCTTCCGCACTCACAGTAATGTGCACACATCCACCTCAACACAGAACTTTTTTAGTTTAAAAAAACTTTAG